TTTAAATTGATTATAATGTCTCTAAGGTGGTTTTGGAGACTGTTACCCACTGAATGTGAATACCAAAAAAATAACCTGGTTTTATGTTTTTTGTGATTTTACCCAAAACAGTCTAGCTGGATTGCTAGATAAATTTTTTTTTTTTTTTAATTGCATTTAAAAAAGCAAACACAATTTTCACTCATATGATATGAAAATGTTCCGGTCTATATAACTCCTACTGCTTACTGTCAAAAAACTCCCTTGTTCTGAAGTCAGTTCAGTGGCTATTAGTAGTCACTGATGTAAATTCCATCTTGTTTATGGAAACATTTTGAACAAAGCACTGATTGTCCAGAGTTTAGAAAAGAAGTTAAAACCTATAAAATGTTGGCATCACTACTATTTGGGGCATGAGAATGACATGCATATAAATCATAGTTTATTGGCACAGTCTTTTATACACAGAAAGAAGGCTTTGCTGAAAATGGAATTCATCGATGTACTGTGATTCCCCTCTTTTATACATTTGTTTTTAATGTATTCTGAACTGGAAAAAAAATCTGAAGCAAATCTTACAATGGGAATCAGGGCCAGAAGTCTTTCATGACATGGGTTAGCTATGGCAGAGGGGCAGAGCTTGGGGAAATCAGGGTGGATGGAAAGGTCCTAATGTGAATCTTTAGGAGGGAAGGTCATTTGTGTAGCTGAAGTCCCTCCGTGCAACCTCAACCATGTTCCTATTAGCTCTGTTGCTCCATTTCATAGGAAAAAGTCCTACTATCACCATTTAGGAGAGGTAACAGTATAGGAGAGGTAACAGTTTACTAGAAGCTTTCACAGGAGGACTCTGTTCCTTCTTGCCCATCATGAGGTGGCTGAAAGAGACCTTTTATGCTGACAGATTTTTTCCTCTTAACAGCAGGGAATTTTTCTGGTGACATGTTGGCAAACCTCGATCCGCAGCCCCTCTAGCTAGGACAAGGAGAGCAATCACCTGCCAATACTTGGCCAAGCACGGAAACCACCCTTGTGCCTCACGCACCACTGCTTTGCTTGATCAACAGTTGGTGGAATATAAGAAACTTCTCTCCTGGTGGGGGTCCAGATGAGATGTGATCTAGGACAGGTCTATGTTTCTACATTCACGATGAACAAGACTTAGTATTGTCATCTGTTGTTTTAAAATGACATTCCAATAGGAAATAAGTGTTCAGGTCTCACTGCAGGAAGTGATCTAATTCTCTTGGTTCTTATGAGTAGGTCAGTCTTAGCAACAGGAAGATTTTGACGGTGTTGGTCATTTAATCATTGTAAGCACCCTTTTAAAAAACATCTGATTTTAAAAGTTTTACCTCTGTTAGAACCTGTAGGACAGCTGCAGTTATATCAAAAGAAATGCCCCACTGGATGGTGATAAATCAACTGCACAAAATATATAGGAACATTCAAGCCCTGAGAACGGAGCACACCATAATTGCGTTGCTCCAGTTCTAGACAACTCAAGTTACACCAGAGTAAAACAAGAGAAATAGCAGTGAACCAGCCCAAGAATTCTTCCAGACAATTCTTTTTTTCTTTTTCTTTCCCAGTAGCAAAATTATTGGCAGCCACCAGGTATCAATGCTGTAATTAGCCTTGAAGTGCTGCACTGAAGAGTAAACGCTCTGGCAATCCAAGTAATATTCTATTAAGTCATTCTACTGGACTGCAGGGCTTATGGGTGGGATTCTCCCAAGTGAAAAAAAACGGTAATGCCACAAGACTAAGTCCTTACTATTTCTTGGAATTTTAGTAACGGCCATAAAATTCACTGTTGGCACCTGAACCTTTAGAAGCACTAAGCAAATTAAGCAATCAAGCCTCAGTCCTGCAGCTCTTCTCCACATATGATTCTTATTAAAATACATGTGGTGAAGAGCTTCATGAATGGATTCCAGAATTTTCAAGCGGAAATGCCTAAAATCAGGTTCATAAATCCACATTTAATTTTTTTAACAAGATTATGCTCATTTTTCAGTTTTCTTGAGCTTCTGAATATTGCTAATGCTAGAGCATTTGGAAAAAAATCAAGCCAATTTATGCATGGCTTTAATCTGAATTAGAGTCTACATGAAGACCGTTTTCTAGAATTGTCCATCGTAAGCATCAGGACTAATCCTGTGAAGGCTAAAGGATGCATGATGCCCTGATGTGTTCTGAGTTGATCCTAGTTCTCTGGAGCTAAAATACCGTAGGACAGCTGATTAAGATGATGTACCTATGACTAATGAGGACGTCCTCTATTCTATCAAGTTTGGAAACTTGGCCCACAGACTGACACGGAATATTCCCTCTAGAAGCACACTATTACCATTCATCTTAACAAAGTGGTCCATCATTGATCACATGGCATAACTCTTTCAAAACCTTGCCTGTACTAAATAATTTCATCTTTGGAAATGTCGTGGGTTAGGCTGACCCTCCCACACAGCCGGTCACTCCCCCTCCCCCACCCCCAGGAATGAGGGAGAGAATTGAAGGAGAAACGGGAAACACCTGGGTTGAGATAAGAACAATTTAATACAGATGATTTAATACACAGGGTAGATGCTCACCACCCCCTCGTATGTGAAGCCCGTCTCGTCCTGAAGCTGCAATCCCAGACGAATGCGAGGCCCCGAAATAGAGAGGGGCAGAGAGAGAGAGAGAGAGAGTACTCCGAGAGTGGGAGTACTGGGAGAGAGAGGGGAAAAAAAAGGCAATAGAGCAAAAGCGCAGCAAGCGCAAAAGAGCAGAAGCGGCGAAAGAGCCGAAGCGCAAAAGCCCTTCTGTCCGGCTGCCCCTCACTTTTATACTGGGCATGACGCTGCATGGTATGGAATACTAATTGGCCTGTTTGGCCCTCAATATTAAATTCCACCACAAATCATAAGGGGAATCGTGTCCCCCTTGTCCCAACTATGCTCCCCCCTTATCCCGCCGTGCTTCTGCACTCCGGCACACTGAAAAGTCCTTGGAGTTTCACGTCCAACCACAAACATCAGCTTGCTATCAGCATTCTTCTCAGAGCGAGCCTCTGAGTAAAACCAAAACACGGAGCTCTTCTAGCTGCTAAAAAGAAGAGCTAACCCGGTCCCAGCTAAAACTGGGACAGGAAGTAAAGGAAAAAATAAGTGTAGGAGATCTGAAAACTACGAAGAAAGGTTAGCAAAATCACAGCCATTTTAACAAGAGCTTGGAAACTTTCTAAGTTAGAGTGATTGCACACATGCATAAGTCATGCCAGCTTGTCTGCACGCACAGCATGTAATATCCACATCCAGAAATGTTGTGTTCCAGCCCAAGGATTCTTCATTTAAAGTAAACAATGAATGAGTTGCACAGTTCTGCTTGTGGTTGTCTTCTCTAGTGTATGAGCATATTTTTAAACCAGAGGATCTGTTTAGGAGAGTCAAAACTATGTATAATAATAGGAGTTGCAGAACTGAGTATGAGAGACCTACAGAGCCCGATGGTGTGAAAAAATGGGAGCCTGGAGACAGGAAAGAGAAACAGTTATCAGGACAAGGACTTGTGCGTGTGGTAGAATAGCCTGTGCACCACACTGTCCTCTACTGGCTAAGCCTAGATGTCTGAAAATGATGATGTATTCAGGCTGTTTTCATTCTTTGGTGCCCAATTTAAGGCATTTCAACAGAATCATACTTTCAAACAGCCCGTCTCCTTAATCCCATCTCTCTCTGCCCTCAATACTTTTAAAAACCAAGAAAGCAGAGTCTTTATGACTATCAAAGTTTCATGATGTTTACTCTCCAACTCTTGGCTTAAGACCTCTGTCAGAAGCAAAGAATTACAAGATGAGGAATTTCAATAAATTTAATTTATTGTCAATTAATTAACTTTTAATTACTGATTCTGATATTTCAGAAAAAAAAACCACCAACACTTAGGGAAAAACACCTCGATTCTCATCTGTACACCTCTCCTCCTCTCTGGTCTCCAATCCCCTCACTGTGGGCTACGCTCAGTCCTTTTTGGGGACGTGAGGGCTGCTGCAGGACACGAGGGTCAGTAGGTGGTGGCTGCTTTTCTTTTTCCACTCCTTGCTTCGTACTCATTTGCGCCAGAGTGGGTTCCTTCACCAGCCACCGGCTCATCAGAGTCAAGCCTCCTCCTCTCTGCCCTGGTGGCTTTTCTTCCTCCAGCCCTTTCTCAAGATCCTATTTTGCTCCAGCATTTCTCCTGTTCTGCCGTCTCTTCTCTCTCCTCCTGCTCTGGTGTGGTCTTCTCACCACTGGAGAACTGGAACAGGTACTGGAACAAGTTGCCCAGAGAAGTTGTAGATGCCCCATCCCTGGAGGTGTTCAAGGCCAGGCTGGATGAGGCTTTGGGCAACCTGGTGTAGTGGAGGATTTCCCTGCCCATGGCAGGGGGGTTGGAACTAGATGATCTTTGAGGTCCCTTCCAACCCTAACCATTCTATGATTCTATGATTCTATGATTCTCTTTCTCCTCCGCCTCTAGTGGTGGTGTCTCTTTTTCTCAATGTTTACCACCCTTTCTTAAACATCTTTTCACAGAGGTACCAGAAACTCCTCCAATGGGTTCAGCATTGCAGGCAGAGCTGGCTGCAATTGGCTGCATCAGGCACAGGGTGGTCCATGACCTCCTCCCACAGAGACCACCCCACAGCCACACCGCTGCCAAAACCCTACCATTTCTGCCCAATACATACCTCAAGCCCCTCTTAGTAATGAAAAAAAAAATTGGGCCAACTTCTAGTTCTACGTTTTCTCCAACCCGGGTATTTTTTTCTTCACAAAACCCTTTACATTTATGGATATGAATATTTCTGGTATCTTTGGAAAGATCAACCTGATGAGATCTGAGATAAGGAATCTGAATGAAAGCAGGTCTTTCTACTGCTGGCCCTGCACGTCCCCTGGGCATGCTGCTCCAGAGGGCTTCAGTTTGCAAGCTGGCTGCTCTGTGCTCTGCGTGGCTCCCACAGATGCCAAAAACCTGTATGCTGCTTTCAGGTTCTGGACGACAGCTGAGACCGGCCGAGCCTCCAGGAGATGCTGATGCTGATGCAGATGCAGAGGATGAAGATTCTGTGAGTTTTTTTCAGAGCTGGAATTTTGGGGATGGGAGTTTGACAGTTAGTTTGTTAAAATGGGATCTTAAATATTTTGTTTATAGTTGAGTCTTGCTGGTGATTTTTTTTCCCCATCAAAAATGTGTTTCTGCTTAGGATTCTCCTGCCAGCTCAAAAGTCGGAATCATGCTTCAGTATAAAATGATTTGCTCTTTGCCGTGATTCACCAGCATAAGTTTAATACCAAGACTTAGCAAACTATTGCGTGGCTGTTGACTACAGTAACTTTTCTTCAAAGCTTTAGTTGGTTTAGGTTCCCTATCATTTGCCTCCAGCAGGAAGCATGCCAAGCGCTTGACAGCAGAAATCCCTGCTGGGACTCTTCCATGGTTTGCTTGGTTATAGAGGGCAATAAAATTTGAAGCCGCAGGATGAGAAGGTTAGATGTGCAAATAAAGCGGGGGAGGGAATCTTTATTGCCTTTTTCGATTATTCCTAATCGATCTGTCAGTATTTTCAGTCTGTTCAGCCCATATATGCATAAAACTCATAAAGAAAACCAAAATCAGCATATCATTGACAGACTCAGGAGTCTGTCCCTTGTGTTCTTGAGTAACATCCTTAAATGAGAATTGTATTTGTTCTTGAACTAAGGAAAAAGTTATTGATTATTCTACATCTGCCAGTACTAGTGAAAGATTTGTAAACAGAAGGAGACTATGCCTAAGTGGAAAAACTCTCCTAAAAAAATGGGTCACTGTTTAATGGTGTATGTTCCTTTTGCATCCTACTCATTTCTTTTCCACAGGTTAATGAAGTGGCAGTAGAAGACATTCGTCCAAGGCCACAAGGATCCTCTCCAGTTTATGAATATTCCATAGAAGAAGAATATTCAAAGGCAAGACACTGAGTTTTCATGCAGGCATGGCTTTACCAAATTAATTCAAGAGGCTTTAGTGCCTACAACTAGCTGAGACTCATATGTCGTGTCACAGGATGTTTTTGCAGCCATACTGTCTCCCTGTCCCCACCAAAATCAGAGCCACGTTCGTTGATGGTTTTATATAGTACTGGACTTGTTGTTGGTCACGTTCTTGTTTCTTGGTAAAAAATGCATTTGATTTCACTCCTTAAAGCACCTGGGGCAGAGATTGTCAAGAAACGACAATGCTTTTCCTATTAGAATATTTAACTGGCTTGAATCTAACTATCTAACCACCTATTGCAAAAATCTAATTTTGCAATCTAATACTTACTGCAAAATTACCTGTATCTCTTGGTTACTCAAAGTCTAAGATTTCATTAGTACAGTCATGTTAAGATAAGTAGGCAACAGTTTGAAATTCATGCTGAAGTCAAATAAATGAAAAAAAAAGTATGTTCACAAAGATGAAAGCATGAGAAATGTGCTACATGAGTAACACACAGAAAAGCTTCCAATGTCTTCATACAGTTGATCTCTGGCATTCATTTCATGCAAATTTTGGCATAATGGAAAGAGGCCTTGGCATGTAACTTACTACTAGGAGTAGTACAGCTAAATCATTCTCATTTTACGTTGCACTTGTAGATCCCAATTTTGCTCTGTTGCTGTTAAAGTCAGCCTCAGTTCTTAGCCTAAACCAGGCATTTTAACTAATGTAGGACTTTTGTCGTACTTTGCAATGGCACAGCTTCTGAACACTAAATAATTGTAAATTATTTTTCAGCTTCAAGAAGAAAACAAAAAGTATTCTACAGACAAATCAAAACAGAGTCATCCACAGGTCAGTCTAAAAGCACTCAGCAGTTCTAGGCATGTGGTTTGCAAAATAGTAGAGTCCATTACAACACACAGACAGGGATGGGTGGACAGAGGGAAGGACAAATAGGCAGAGTCGCTTTAGACTTGTTTTGACCAGGAATTTCACAAACTGCCTAGTTGTGGCACAGGCATGAACACTTACTTGTCCTATTTGAAGTCCTCCCAGAATTCTTTTTAGCATTTGTCACGTTAAAACGCAATGTCAGGTCGGTAGAGGGTAGAGAGGGGGACTACCTTGAGCCCTTTTCAATTTGACCAGTCTACCGGCTTCCCAAGAAAGACAAGACCCTTGCATCCGACCCACCTGCCCCCCTGGGCAGCCCGCTAAGTCGGAGGGTGTTTGTCTAACCTATTCAGGGACCCCACGGGCAGCACACCAGGCTAAATCCCTTATGTCCTCTGTATCAATTTTGAAGTTTCTGGAAACTTATATTTGTATATATATGACAAACTTTATTACATATACTCGTGACAGGATACAGATTCAAATACAGCCGGTGATAGGTACTGTCTGCGAAAAGAAAACTTATCACTAATAATTCTAACTAGTTAGCAAGATGTTAGTAACTAAGTGTGCATAACACAGAGCTCCTACCCAACAGGCATCCCTAGTGGGGGGGAGAAGAGAGGTCCAGCCTGTCAACTGATGCCAGACGTTCCGATGGAGGTCTTCCCCCAACACCCACTTCTCTTAAGCCATTTTTATACTTTCAGGTGGAGCTCAAGTGACTCTAGTCATGCATATCTTTGTCAGGATTGGTGTAAATTTTCCTCACTTCGATTTAAAGTTATAGACAAGAAGAAATTCGGGGCACATGCTCAGTGAGGGGTGGTCGCAGCCCAGAGGCGGGTAGCTTTTGGGATGGAGGTGTGTTTTGGTATTATAATGATATTATAATGTGCAAAGTTCACCCAAAGGCCAGGAATTTTGCAACTTGTCAAATATTAACATGCCCAAATTGCCTAGGTAAATGCCTGGCTAGGTCTTGTGTCCCGACTCCGTTCACCACCATTGTTGAGGCAACAGTTGCGATCCGTCTTCCTTGACAGCTGTGCGGTTCCCTTTGCCAGCCATTCTCTATCCCTGGGAACAGGGACAAATTGTGGTACCTTCGTACCACTCTGCTCCCCATTTCAAGGATATTGTACATTCTGTTCGGCCTTGGCATGCCAACCGCATTGTGTTCCTGGGAGCAGCAACCATGTCTTGCCTCAAAGCTGCTTTAATATTACAGCTTTTGAGCTGAACTTTGCGAAGCAGTGTTTCTCCATTTCCCCAATTTCAGTTATTTTCCCACAGCAATCTTTAGCCTTCTCTGGTTTGAGTACAGTACAGCATGAGCTCTTCGTCTGACTTTCTGGCCCATTGACTCTAATTCAGGTGCTTAACATCTTCACAGAAAACAGTCTTTCAGCCCTAAAAGATTCCGTATG